TGTGGTGCTGGGGGATTGAACCGCGGTCCCTGTGCTTTGCCAAGCTTGTTCCAAGTAGGTGCTTTAGACCACTGAGCCATCTCTCCAGCCCCATCCATGGAGAAAGTTTTGACAAAAGGATGTGTGTTGACTGTTTTGGTTGCTTTGTTTTTTGCAGGCCTGGGGGTCTGACCCTTATGCATGCTAGCAAGGTGTTTTATCGATGAACCTTTGTTATTTATTCCAGGACTTTTTATCTACTACTTTGAAACACAGTCTCAGTAACGCTGGCCTCAAGAACTCACAATCTTCTGCCTCAGCCTTTCAAGTAGCTGGGCTGACAGGAGAGCGATCCTATGCTCTGTGTTTGCTTTTATTCCTAGCAGTTTGCTCCAAGGACATATTCTGAGCTCACGCATCACAGAGGACTTGAATGTGAGAAGATGTTGGCTAGAGCCATGCATGGTGGTGCATGCCTGTAATAATCCCAACACTTGGGAGGCTGAGGCAGGAGGGTGGCTGTGAGTTTGAGGCCAGCCTGAACTACATAATGACATCCTGTCTTTGAGAATGCAAAGAAGGCTTATATCTTTGAGCTGGAGGAGGTCGGGGAACGGTAGATAGGAATTTATTTATTTCCATTACAAGGGATAAAATCTAGGGCCTTTACACTGAGCTACATCCTCAATCCTCTATTATTATTGTTGTTGTTATTATCATTGTTAATTTATTTTAAAGTCTCTTACTGGGCTAAACCTTGCGATGCTCTTGCCTCATCCTCCCACTTGCTGGGATTTCAGGCATGCACTACTATGTCCGGTTTTATTATTTATTTATTTATTTTTGTGTTTTAGGGAAGGGCCTACAGGGTGTTCAGAGCCTCACTACTAGATCGGACTCCTGGTGATCCGCCTGTTTACAGCCTCCCAAGAGCTGGGATTACAGGCATGCGCCACCATGGCCAGTCTCAATTGCTGTCTCAGCGCACCCTGGGGGATGGGACGAGCACGGCAGGCCCGGGTGGAACCCCCGACCTCTGTGCCTACTTGCAGGCGCTTTAATCTGCTGAGCTATTTGG